CGCGAGACATGCGTATAATAGCCTATGGGCATGACCGCGCGTGAATAACAGCTAATTAATTACGTTAATCGTGGGTCAATTAACTCGAACCTCACAGTGCTTATTTCAAAGACATGTATCATTATGCATGTATAATTCTAGAAACGTAACTCATATAGATCGCGAGATATGATAGGTAAATACACTTTTCTACCGGCTAAACCCGTACTACAGGCCTGTATAAGCCTATCGGCTTGACCGCGCGTGCATATTTGCTAATTAATTAGGTTAATCGTGGGTCAATTAACTCGAAACTCACAGTGATTATTTCTAAGACCTGTATCATTATGCATGTAGAATTCTAGAAACGTAACTCATATAGATCGCGAGATATGATAGGTAAATACACTTTTCTACCGGCTAAACCCGTACTACAGGCCTGTATAAGCCTATGGGCTTGACCGCGCGTGAATAACAGCTAATTAATTAGGTTAATCGTGGGTCAATTAACTCGAAACTCACAGTGATTATTTCTAAGACATGTATCATCACGCATGTAGAATTCTAGAAACGTATCTCATATAGATCGCGAGATATGATAGGTAAATACACTTTTCTACCGGCTAAACCCGTACTACAGGCCTGTATAAGCCTATGGGCTTGACCGCGCGTGCATATTTGCTAATTAATTAGGTTAATCGTAGGTCAATTAACTTGAAACTTATAGTGATTAATTTTTATAGCTAAGACATTGTATCATTAGGCATGTATAATTCTAGAATCACAACTCGACTTCTTCGCGAGATATGCGTATCATAGCCTATGGGTATTATACCGCGCGTGCATAATTGCTAATTATAATTAGGTTAATCGTGGGTCAATTAACACGAAACTCACAGTGATTATTTCTAAGACATCTATCATTATGCATGCAAAATTCTAGAAACGTATCTCATATAGATCGCGAGATATGATGTGTGCGGGGGGAGGGGGAGGGGGGGTTAACAGCTGTATACAATACAGACAGTAGACAGTAGCTGTATACAATACAATACAGACAGTAGAGGCGGGCGCGGGCAGGAGGTTCGGAGTCGGAGTCGGAGATCGGTAGGAAAGTGTATTTGCGCCCACTATTTTCCCGTTTTTCCGTTGTATACTCTATAGGTATTAGCTCTATATGTAACCCAATATCATAGATTACCGCGTATACGGTTCCCGATTAACTATAACTCTACAACTTACCGGCATCAAGTAGACAGATCAACACTTTGGATATTACTTTATCGCAGTTAAGGCCCGCTCAGGTCGGTCTACGATTTTACTATCGGCGACTACTTTAGCGCCGATTAGCAGCGTAGCAACACTCATTTCGACTTGAAGTGACTCCGCTGCACATCGCCGATCACAGAGTAGCGTTCCTGCATGAAACGTAGACGGGTTCGCGGCCCCAGTATTTGTTCTAGCACAAGCAGTTCTTTAGCACAAGCAGAGCAAGCTTGACGCCGGGACCAGTCTACATCAAACGAGTCACGTACGTGACCAACAAAATGGCGCTTACCAGTAAACATCATGTAACTTCGTAAATCTATTCTTAATTTTCTGAACATCGTTATAATCATGTGCAGAATTTTTTTGTATGTGATGTACGGAAAACTTTATATATATTTGAGAAAGGGTTTGTGCAATAATCCCTCCTTGTAAACTGCGGACGAGTGGCGTGTAGGCTGCCATTTTATTAATCACGTGACTTTTGATAATCATTTGACTCGACACGCTGCGGTGTTTGGCTGCCACTCACGATTTGTCGCCGACAGCCGCATAGAAATAGAACATGTTCTATTCTCTGCGATCGCAGTTAAAGGCTCACAATGCGCATCCAAACGCTAATTTCTCCAGTACTAGACTAGCAAATACTTCGTGGCATGCATAATCACACTACCTTATGACAAAATAAACTCTAGTTCCTCCCATTTCACTGCACGTTGTCTTATAAAAGGTATTTTGAAAATACCTCCAATG